CTAAAAAAACCCAAACAAAAACAACAACCCAAAACCACCACCCCCCAAAAAAAAAACAACAACAACCCCAAAAACCTTTGGTCAACTTACTGTGGAATTTGATGTGCACAGTGGTCACATCCTCGTCCTGGCTGCGCCCGTTGGTGACCACACACTTGTACACGCCGGCGTCTTCGATGGAGGCCGACTGAATCACCAGTTCTCCGCCCCTGACCGAGACTTTGCCGCCAGAGGTCATCACGGAGCCTTCCTTGACCCACTCGACCTGCGGCTGCGGGTAGCCGTTGCCTTGACAGAAGAGGCGGATGGCCGAGCCTTCCATGAAGGATCCCTGGTGTTGCTGGATGTCTGCCTGTATCGACTCTGTAAAAAAATAAAATAAAATGGTGAAATGGTATTGGTTTAACGTCCCTACCAACACTATTATCTTATTTAAGAGGCGGGGCCTCCGTCTTTAACGTCCATCTCCGAAAGGACCGGGCCAAGTGGGAAATCGTGTAAAGAGCCTTTCCCAAGGACACAACGACTGACCGAGCTGAGTCTCGAACCCCCGAACCCACAAACTTACGATTACGAATCCAGCAGCCTAACCACTAGACCATCGACGCCACTATCGACTCTGTCGTGGTATATACATACATACATGACAAATTTAGAAACCACTTACGAAGACCAAATATCTAAATGATGTCATAAAAAGAGCAAAAAATGACAATATTATAGCAAACTAAATTACAGGTAATGTAAATATTGACTTGTCAAACGTAGGTGTTTTGTACCCCATCGACATAATTTGTGATATTTAGAAGACAGACGTGTTTGACTACGCGTGTCAGGGCCAAACCAGGCTGAGAAGGATACAATGTCTCAGCCGACAGACGGGTACTCGACAAAAAGATTTGCACTCACGACCTTAGCATGTAATGGTGAGGCGCCTGACCACTACACTGTAGACGCTTGTCATCATCACGTACAAGGTCACTTCTGTGTATGTGTGCGTGCACGAACGCGCGTGTGTGTGTGCGCGCGCGCGTGTGTGTGGGTGTGTTTGTGTGCTCGCTCTTGTGCTTTCAATAATATATTCATTATGGGCATAGACCCTGAACCTAAACCCCACCCTTCTCCTATCCTATTTCTCTCTCTCCCCCCCCCCCCCCCCTCACTCACTAAAATAAAAAGAAAACAAAACAAAACCCACAATCTTTTCTCTAAAACACTGCAAAAGATTCTCGGTAATCAGTCAAGTAGTACATAGGCCCGTCTATACTATTATTCTACGCCACCATCCACCACCCACCACTCACTCACCTCGAAGCGTCAGTTCAATCTTACGCCTGACGGGCGACACAATTCCGTTCTCGGCGAAGCACTCGTACATTCCCGTGTCTCTGGGCTCCACATCGTCGATGATGAGCGTGCCGTTGCCGAAGACCTGCATGCGGCCTCTCGAGTTGAGGACCCGGCCTTCCCGCTGCCAGGACAGACGAGGTGTCGGGGAACCTGAGGCCTGGCAGTGGAAGTAGGCGCTCTCTCCGGGCCGGACGGAGACCAAGGCGGGTCCGGGGAGGATGTTCATGGGCTCTGAGAGGCGGGGGAGAGGGGATGGGGGAGACAGGGAGAGACATTCGGACTTGTAGTGTCTTCATTATATTATTTTTGCGTTCTTGTTGTTCACGACCAGTAAAAACAAAAAATAAAAAGGATGTGCAAAAACAGAGAGAGAAAGTTAGAAAAAGAGTATAACGATACAATAAACAATTACTTACGTGTACAGACCCAAAGAGAGAGAGAGAGAGAGAGAGGCAGAC